AGAACATCAGAATTTCAAATGTCATGGTTCTGCATTTTAATGCATCTTAAATAGCTTTTTGGCTTGGCACCATAAATTATAACTAGTTTAATCTAAATTACTATGCTGTAATATCACACAAAAATATACATTTTGTAATACAGATTCGCGTCTGTGAAATACTAATGTTATGGAAAACAATGTGTCATTGTATCATGATTTTTTTACCACCTTCAATTATGAAGCGAGGTGCACACAGTGCAAATGTACAGAGAGAACTAGTTGTAGCCTGAATATGTATATTATAATAACAGCCCATAGAAATGTGATATATCATGGGTAAATTAATTAATTAATTCTCTACCAGCAATGGTTTTAATTTAGAAATGGTTCTGAAAATATATTGTAATATATATATCAGTGAACTGTACAAACATACATTATGACTAGAAAGTTTTTTTTTCACTACAGTTAGTTCACGTTTAATCTAGTTTTAATTGTAGCTTTGCTTTCAAAATCACCCATGCAACTTGCTCCATACGTAACAAAACCAAAAATATTAAAGATTAAAAATGAAGTTAGTCTGCATGTTGATTTCTGACAGTTCTCATAATAAAGGCAAGTGTTTCCACATTATGGAAAGAGATGGCATCACAAATCAATGCATGTCACAACAGAATAAAGACAGATGTATCTGATTAATCAGAAGTAAATTTTAGAAGACAAAGAACTATCTAAAATTACAAAACCACAAATATTTCTGCTATCCCAGTTGTTTTTTTCCCATTTCTACGCAGTCCATACAATGCAGTGAGAGAACAATAAAGCCTGAGTTTAGTTGGTGAATCCCCAGTTTCTGCTGTAAACTTATCACTGTGGTAGTGGGCACGACGTAGAGATGTGCACAATTCATAAAGCCTCTGACTTATTTTGATTCTATGTTTATGCAAACTTTCTGACTACAGGTTTTAATGCAAATTCTGTGTACTAAACAATGATCACTAATAAATTCTAAGTAAATAAGCCAGCTCAGTATAGCACTTCCACTACAAAACTCACAATCACAGTTGTTTAATTAACGTAGTCTCATTCTGTGGGTAGTTTTCTGTACATCTAAGCTCTAAAAGAGGTAATAATTGGTATTCATTTACTGTGGACTCTCAAGTTATGTAGCTCCCTCATTTCTCTTCAATGGTCTGCCAACAGAATTTACAAATATTGCATTGCCGCACAGAGTTACCTGAATAAGACAGAAATACTATCTGAACCAACAGAGCAATGAGCTATTGATCCTGCAGTCAGAAAGAGAAGACGTGAACACAGGAAAAGGTATGTGAAAGTACATTTTTATTCTCCTATCGTTTGTCTTTGCTAGTGATGGTCCGCTTTGAAAGCAGTTATTCTCATTTCTAAAAGAAATCAAATCTACTTTATACTAAAGTAGCCGTGCAAATATGTTTAAATCGGTAAATAAAATTCCACACGTCACTGTGCCCCTCATAGACACCTACAGACACATACAGGTACCATACTCTATAATTAATATTGTCATTAATACTGTATTATCCAGTACCTTGTAAAATATTTAGAGTGCAGGATATTTAAAAGTATAAATACTCTGAAGGAATTTCAGGTGTTTCTCATGCTAGTTTTTTTACGTTTCAATAGTACAACAGTACAGTAGTATACAAGAACAAACTTCTGCTGAATCACTCAGAGTTGAAACCCTCACCCCACAAACAGAAAACACTACCTAGTTGTCATGAAAGCAATTATGCAGCAAAGTACGTGGGTGTTTGAAAAGGGAGTGAGCACGGCAGAAGACAGTGAGCGCTGTGCAAACTCCCTCTGTGGCAACAAGTGATGCTTTCAAGGCGAGGCCAAGACAGACGGGTGCTGGGAAGGCTGGGGGAATAAGTTATGGTCCAGGGGTTAGAACTGCAGCACGGCTACCCAGTAGTTCCCCTGACACAAGGCAGTGTGGCACCACGGGCTGCAGGGACCCCAAGCCTAGAATGTTAGAAGAGTTTTCTGTGCTATGTAGTGAAGGAAGGAGGAGAGGAAGTTCATACGAAATTAATCCTCTGTCTTATGAGAATCACAGCTCTTCAGCCTGACTCCTTTTCATCTTTGTCCTTGGATGTCCTTCTTCCAAGATTTATCCTGCATTTCTTTCTGATCTTACTCCATTACACAGTAGTTAATGCACAGAAATCTGTGGTTAGACCATATATGCTTTTCACTAGCTATATGTCATCCAAACTTAGCCTGCATCAGTCACTTTTGCTGAAGTGCCAAAGGATGCCCATAGTCAATAGGGAACACAGTCAGTTCAATAATTGGCTCTGGAAAAAGGAGCATTTCTGCTGCTAAGCTCCCCATTGTCACACAGGCAGTTTATGTTTGGCTTTCAAGTACTGCAAATAAGAAGGAAGCCCACAAGTTAAACCTAACCAGAGGAGACAAAACGAGGAGACGAGGGATGAGCACAGAATCCTGCTGGTATCATGTACAATCAAGGCTGAAATGGAGGAGCTTCAGCTGCCAGAAACTGTCTAGCAAGCTCCCTTCCTCCAGAAGCTGCTCCACTCGTAGGAACTGTACTGTCTGGGGAGCAGCTTTGCCTCCTCCCACTGACTCTGCAGGATTAGATCAGGAAAAATTTGTTCCTGGTCCTGCTACAAGTCAGCTGTGACTAGCTACACAGGAGAGCTCACTCTGAAATCTCTACTTCCATAGGTACCGCAGTCCAAGACAGTGTTCTGCTCCCTGCTGACCACTCCACAAGACTTTTGTCTACATAATCGGAAACGAGGTTTAAAAAAAATGAAAAAAAAAGCTAGCACATTATGCCAACTTGTATTATTTCAAACTCTCTACCAACTCCTTGTTCTACCATTAGGTCAACAAGAGCAGTCTTTGTGTAGTACTCATTGTTCACATAAGAACTGCTGTACCTGACTGAGCTTTTCTTCTTATTTGAAATATTTATTTTTGTAGCATTAATTACCCTGCTACTGTTATACATAAAAGCAATTTTATTTCTGCAGCACCTTGCAGTCAAGCATTGCAAATCATGTTACAAAGACTGAACATCTGTGGGAAGTGCACCACAGGGAAGAATATAGCAGTAGAAAAACTAGGTAGTACTTGGGTGGGACACAGTCCTACCGCACACAGCAACTCATGATTCAAGAGTGTAGGCACCAGAAAAAGATTACTGCCTCCTACTGAACTTTAGAAGAAAGTTTAGCTAGGAACAACAATCACTGGACTAAAATTCATCTAAAGCACTCTTCTAAACTTCTCTTTAAAATAAATACTACTTGTAACATTTTGCATCTTATTAAAACAAATATATATATAAAAATGTATTTTACAAGTACTTTTATCAATCCGCTCATCTGAAAGATCTCCATCCAAGTCACACCTCCGGAGCATGGCACCCAGCAGAACACTTTCTAGTCACTACTTGAGAAATGACTCAGAGCCTGGTGCTTAGTGGAGTACCAGCATCACTTCCTACAACATGCGTGTCTTTCTCCTGAACTCCCACCCAAGCTGGAACTCAGCCAGTGTCTGTTTAGTTCTTGAGATACTCAGTAATCAACATGCAGTCTGGCAGGACTGCAAGCATATCAGCAATGAAACTGATAAATAAATAAATCTCTGTGCTTTCTATGAGGCGCCCTTAGCCTAGGCACTGAATAGTTACAGCTGACGGTATGTTATACACATAAGTCAGTCGTAAACATACTTGAATGACATTTATGTCCTAAAGAGTGTTTTAGTAAGAAAATCTGTGAAATAGATTGGAATCTCCTTTGGAATCCAGAGAAACACTTACTTCCTTAGGACTACTTCAGGTGTAAGTGACAGCAGAAGCCAGTCTGACATATTTTACACTATGTTGTAGTAATATAGCACTTTGCCCTCATAATAGGGGGCCGCCCTCTATAGCTAATTCACTTATGGTACTTCCCCACAGAGAGGTGGCTGAGTAACAAATATATTTCTCTTCTGTGCAGGTCTCCATCCATCAGTACACATTTATATCCCACCTCTGAATCAAGAATAAAAGCCCCCTGTTTCCCAATTAATCTCAAAGTTCTCTTAAGACCATGCTACTGTTTGTCACTAGTTGACTACATTACCATTATTCACACTGTTCCTTAGGCCTATGCCTAATGATTTACCTTTGATCCTCTTCCTCTCTCCACATGTCAAACTACTTTGACATCCCAGCCCAAATCCTGTTTCTTTTTTCTGCAGCACATTTAACAAAACTGTTGTTTTCTTTCACTGACTAAACTTCTTGCTCAGTCTCATTTTCCCATTTCAGATGTAGTAACAAGAAACCCATCCTACCAGCAATTCTTAGGGCAAACAAGCAATTATACACTTCAAATCTACACAATATGCTTAATGTTAGGTGGCACACTGAGCCATAGCCTCCAAGACTTAATTCTAACTCCTTCCTCTTCCACTACATGTTGCTGAAGGTTTATATCACTGTACTACAAACCTTCGGCACAATTCCTCTTCCTTCCGTAGGCTTGTTTTATGTTGCCTCCATCTTTCACTTCCACTATCCACCCAGCCTCAAGTTTACACCCACATTATCACGTTGCAACTGCAACTCAATTTCAGTGGCTTATCTCGGCAGCGCTTGGCACAGAAGCCGCCTTTCATGAGCTGTGTGATAAAGCTGTTACTCATTCCATTTGCATTCTGATCCCTCACAGAAAACATTTTCACTGCACTGTTTAAAAAAGGACTATTACTCTTATTAGCTGGGTAATATTAAAAGGTTGAGGAACAAAAGGAAAGAATGTAACCGCAAACAAAACCAGAAATCGTGACACCATTGCACTGCACTGTGGGAACATCCCAGACTAGCTGACCTACACAATGCACAATACCCTTTTCCTGTGATTTTTATTCTAGTTAGATTGAATAGTCCAATTCCTCAAAAAAACAGATCATTTTTTTTTTTAATACTTAAAAAAATATTTCCTTACCTTATCCAGGGAGAATGTTTTAGTGACAGCAAAGCCCCATCCAGCTTCAAAAGCTCTTCGAATCATTGAAGAACTGGTAGCAGGGGTTGCACTGGCAAGGCCAAAAGGATTTGGAAACTTCAGTCCAGCCATTTCGACACTGATGTCTACTAAATCGATTCGAGTATAGAAGAGTGGCAGTTCTGGAACTGTAGAAACTGCAACACCATGTAAGGACTGTAAAACACGAACAAAAATAATAACGATTTTTGCTGATTCATTTTTATATATTCAACCCCGATAAGGAAATAATTCATACACAATAATGCAAAATGTAAGTTTTCTGTGTTCAGAGTTGCAAATCAGCAAAACATGCAAGTACATATTTAACATCTTTTGCCCAAACAGCATTCAGGCTGAAATATTACGTCATGCTGGAAATAAAATAATACTAATACTAATAGAAACAGTTCTTTTACATCCTGTACAGCTAGTCAGGTTCAGTCCAAAGGTTTGCTCAGCCATTCTAAACAGCCAGTTTTCTTCTCTACACCAGCAGTGAAATTGTAAAAAAAAACCCAAACAAACCAGGACACAGGATATGCACAGACAGACCCTTTCTAGTTTTCTTTCCAGGTGCCAATCTATAAGAAGTGTAGTGACTTGCGAAAAATGAGGGAAGGCATTCATGTGCAGGATCACTCAGCCCTAATTCAACGTATTTTGAACTCCTGCACTTTCGTCCACCCCTTTAAAGATTTTATATTGCCTACACAATGGGATACATATCAATATATTGAAAATTATCATAGTTTTAATATCTAATTTTATTAATATGAATACTTCAAGGGTGCTGAAAATTAGACTCTGATTTGGGATCAAAGAGCATCATACACATTATGTCTGTGACCCCACAGTCACTTTTGTTTTCATTTTAAAGAGCCGTTTCTCTGGAGAGTCAGTGAAAAGCTCTCAATGAAAAGGTTGCATCTAATACTGTAAAAATTACGTAGAGAAAATCTTTCTTCCATGTATATTGAATAGCATCCCAGTCAGATTGTGGTAGGTAGAAATAAAATATTTTCTCACTCAGATGGTTGACTCAATAAAATCACAAAGAAATAAAGCAGGCATTTCTAACACAGAGAAGCCCTACGCAGTCTGTGTTCCTAATAAGTCTCAGCACAAGATCACAGCAGTTCCCTGTTATCCTTAAAATGAAGATTTCTTCATCAGGATGAAGAGAACCACTATTGGAGGTGTAGAAAAGATTTTCTATAATGAGTAAAAACCTCAGCCACTTATAGATTGCTGCCTTTTGGGTTGTGGGGTTTTTTTAAATGAACTTATTTACTCATTTTTTACATGTGAAAACTAATAAGCATAGATGGGATGAGGTTTTGTTTGTTTGCTTGTTTTAATGCCTTTTTGTTTTCTTAGGCTCATTTAAAACCCAAGAGTTCACATGTCTGTTTTGTTCTGGGACTGCCTGGACTCACATCTATGATTCTGACCCCTTAAGTTCCTCAGACAGAGAAGATACACTTGAGGGCCAAATTTTCTGATGGCTTGAGAGCGATCAAAGTAGTGGAATTGTCCTAGCCCAAATGATGTAAACCTGAATGCATCCCTAATGGTGGATATTTTGAGAAAAGCTAATTTTTAAAGATCCCTAACACTTGAGACCAAACTCCCTTCAGTATCAGTCTCTACCAGTGAGCAGCCAGTGCAGTCACACATTTTATAAAAAGGCACACTCCCCATTTCCTTCCTCCTGAGTGCTTAATGCTTCCTCCATGTCATACTCCCTGGGGCTCTTTTCCTACATCAGGAGAATCTGAGTTCTTAGAAGACCAAACAGTCCAGCACTCTACATCTCAAAAGCTTTTGTTGCCCGACAAATCAAAGAAGAAAAGAAAAAAAAAAGAAAAAAAGGAGTATTTGATTTTGATTATGCTATTTGATTTCATCATTTTAACTTTTCTTTAGTCTTTCTTAACTAAAATTTCAACTGCAAAATGTTGTTTGCAAAGTCAAAACTGAACTTCACAGATCATGCAACTGAAATTAAAGCATTTTTAAAATGTCAGCACCTTTTTTTTCCTACATATTTGGAAGTGAGGAAATATGCTGAAATCAACACTGATGTAACTGGACTCTTCCACTGAACTCTTTAATTTTGATTTGGTAACAATGACAGCAAAGAAAGAATTACAGCCAATTCAATTATATATGCATGTCAGTAATAAACCTCATTTTCCATTTTGAAAGCAGTTATTTGTTAACTCATTTGTTATCCAATATCGTTCAAATGTTCTCCATGAATATATTTCAGTCTGTGGATTGCTCACGAACTATTCATTGCTCGTGTAACTGCAAGTATTGATTGCTATAGACAGATAAACATAGATTAAGCGCTTAATATGCTGCTTAAATTACATTGTATTGTTTTATTCCCAAACAGGATAATTTAATCTCTAAAAGTTGTTCTCATCTAAAATGAGCATTGCCTGAAAGTGATTCTGAACTAGAGATCTCAAATGAGCTTTCTGTGACAAAACAGAAAATAAATTCTATACAAGAAAAAAAAAATAAATCAAATGCACCAGAGCAGTGAACCAGGTGGTTAAATTCACTCATGAAAAGACAGGCCTTGCCTCCTGCGTGCCATCAGGCAAACTGGCCATAAGCCACTTCCCAAACCATAGGCAAAGCAGCCTATCCTTCCTGCCAAGTGTCCCTCACAAAGAGCAAACCCACAAACATTTCCACCCTGATGCACTCCAGCACCTCAAGATGTGCCTAACGGTTTGTTAATGATGGGGTGACCCAGGTGGAAGTGGCAGGGGAGGATTAAGAACAGTTTCAATGGAATGCAGCTGAAGGTTCAGTAGCCAGTGGCTACACAACCTCACAGATTTAACTCCTTCCTGTCATTTCCCTTTTTGCTCTATCTGTTTCTTTTGGTGGATTTTCCTGTCAGCACAATGCTTACAAAATAAAATTTACTAAGCCCCGATATGTTGTTTTCTACAAAGCAAAACTTTCAGCAAACTAAAACGTTTTATAGCTTCCTAAAGTAAAATCATCTTTATATTGAAGGATTTCCCTGACATTGCACAAACAAATAGGAACAGAAAGCCTGGAGGCAACAGTTTATTTATAATAACTTCTCTTGATTTTTAAGAATAGAGGACGAAAAGTATGGCTCGTTCTTCCTCTAATCTGATGCCAACCAGCTGAGCCAACAATATTGCTGATACTTATTGTTCCAGCCATGGCACTTTTTTGAATACTGCAACAAGGTGCTGAAAAAATCCCCAGCATGTTGCAGGCAGTGGCCCTACTTTACTCTAACCTCCATACGCCTAAAGGCAAAAGCAGCACAGTCTGTACTGCAGGGCTGAGAGACAAGAACTCAGCTTTAGACTTGATACAATTTGTGACATTCATCTTCTTCAGACGGAGAAAATTCTTAACCACAGCGATATGGTCTAACTCCATTTTTGGGGCCTTTAACAAAGATAGACTGTGAAAGTGAGTAGTTGTATTACTGTTATTTTTCACAGAGAGCATTTTTCCTGCTGCTTGGAAGAGTTTTCTCGAATACTTTCATCTCACTCCTCCTTTCTCTATTTTAAAACATGCCTTTTTTTCCTTGCATGTGCTTCTTCTATCCCCTCTCTGATTATCCAGTATTTAACTTTGTTAAATAAGCTTAAAATTTGTTAAATATTTTATTTCAAACAATTCCAGAATGGTTGTGTTTGAAAGGGATGCCTGGGGACCATCTCGTCCAACACCCTTGCTCAAAGCAGCATCAATTAGAACAAGTTGCTCAGGGTTCTGTCCAGTTGGGCAGCAATTTTCTAAGCTCCTTCCTGGCTTTCTGTCCCTGGAACAGACATGGTGCTTACTCAGTGGTAAGCAACTAAAATACCAGGTTTCCTGCACTTCTATTTAGTCCATCTTTTTGCAAATGATTCTTTGTTACTTGTCTCCAAGCGTTTCATATGTTGTTCTAGCTAAAAAAAAAGATGCATTCAATTTTTTCTTTGGTTATCCTCAAAAGAAGCAGACAACATAACTAATAGCTTCAAAGACAAGCTTCCTGAGAACCACCCATCTCTGGTATTGATTATGAAATAATGTACATTCATGCATGCTTGAGGAATATATAAGAATGGTCAACCTTCATAAAAGAATCAACAAGTATATCCTTCACATACAAAGCCCATAAAATCTTTGACAGTAGAGATAAAGAAAAAATAGCAAATATACAATACTGGTTGAAAATAACACAGTGATGTGCTCAGAATTCACACTGAATAGCATCTAAGTGAAGTGCAATTTATATCAGTCGGGATCCAGCCCTCTATTCTTTAAGTGAATCATGTACATTTCAGTCTAGGAGAAATATAAAAAGAAACTGTCCACACAGTAAAGAAAAAACCAGATTTAAATAAAAGAAAACTTATTGTGAATTAGAGAGGAAAAGTCACTTTTGAAGAGGGATTTTAGTGAGGAGAAAATGGCAGCTTGACTGCCACATATTGGAAAATGCTCCACAGGTAAGTGCACGAATAGAGCGGGACTGCAGCATTAAGGCTGGCACAGTGGTTCTGGAAGAATCATGATGCAAGATCTGTCTTTGCTCTCAAGGCAGACACCAAAACTTAGAAGCTAGTCCTGCAACAATTGTGAATTACCCTGAATAGAATTATACTACTAAATCCCATTCACTGATTGAAAAGAAATGAACGGTAACTGAGGCACAGACGAGAACAACAGCTTATATTGATTCTGCACGAGATCATAACGTCACTGCTGGACAAAACGGAGGGCCATTACAATCCCCAAACTAAATAAATCACCAAGATTATTTCACAGAAGTTTTTAAGTCATTCACAGAATAATACAAAAAGTTGAATCCAGAAAAACTGTTGTAAATACTAGATAGTTGCTCATTCTGACTGGATCTCTAAGGGCTTGCAAAGAATGGTTCCAGGAAGACTAACTGTATTTTCTAACAGGTTCTACTACAACTATCCTTAGTTAGGCTTTGACTGGTCATGTTTATAGCAAATAACCTGACACAGCTGCAGGCAACAATTTCTGAGATGAACCTATGCTTCATATAGTGGGAGGAATACGTTAAGAGGCAGGAGATATTTAGGCAACTAATGATGGAAAGTTTCCAGCATAAGAGCAGCCAAGAAGCTTCTGTAAATAACTCCCAGTTTTGAACATAAGGCATTTCTGCTGGAGAGTCCTTGAGTCTGGATCTCATGCTTCACTTGACCATGTGCCAGAGCTTGCAGTGATTGGAGTTTCAGGGCACATATCAGGCCCATCTGTTTGCTTAGCCTTTTGCCTGGAGTACGTTGGGATACAAGCAGCGTGACGTTCAAACAGTCCATTCTCCAAATAGTCAGGATGGTGGTTTTGAATTTTAGTCTTTGACATGGTCTTGGGTTGGTTGAGAAATTCTATAGGATAGTTTTATTTTGCTAAAGGCTGACTGCATCATTTATAGATCCTGGTGCTGAGATAGCTGGCAATTTTGGAAATGGCTACCTATTCCTGTAACTAAAATGCAAATGGATAGATATTATCAATGCATTTATTAAAATTTAATGTGCACGTCACTCATACAGTCAGATCACAGGAAGCTTATGTGCCTTAGAATCTCACACTAGAGAGAAAATAAGGTAGTGTGCAAGAGTGTTTTATTATTTGATATTGGAAGTTTCCAGAATACAGGGCTGTGAAATGAATGCATGCACACACATGCACACAAAGGCCTGCACGTCCCTACCCCTATAAACATCAAGGTAATACAATCCTCTAAACAACTTCTTTAAAAAAAAACAAACTCTCCTCCAGTCACTAAAATTTCTACCAGGTCCAAACACCAGTGAAGTAAATTGCCAACTTAGAGCACTCCTCACCGCAGCAACCAGATTTTACAAGGGCTGCACATCCAAATAAATGCCCCTGGGCAACCCATTCATCTAACAGCTGGAAAGGTGACACCTGACATTTGGAAACTTCCCTGTGAAGATTGCTGTAAGGCTTTCCCATTAGCTTCCTGGTGAGACTGTAAGGTTGAATAAGCTGCCTTGAAACCTGCAAAGGGTAACGGAAAGTCTCTAATATCACAAGCCTGCTTGATTTAAAATTCTAATTCTCAAGCCATGACTATTCAGATTTTTTTTTTCCCAAAGTATTAAATACGTTCCAGAGGGAAAAGAAAAAAAAACAAGCTTTGAGGAGGAAGCAACATAATGAAGGAGGGATTTTATGTGATGTGTGTATTTCTGGAGGTTAAAGAGGAAGGAGACAAAAGGAAGATGATACCCTTCTCTCTCCCTATCAGAGCTACCCAAATTCACTGTGCACTAAGAAATTAAGCAAGCAGGTCAGGGATTAAAACATTTTCATAGGGTCTTAAGAAGGCAGGACACAAACAGTGCTTTAGAACAAGTGAGAAAAAATATGCACAGATACTAACAACAAGCTTTCAGTTGAAGTATTTTTAGGAAGTGAAATCAGACCCCAACAGCCTGAAATTGCACAAACATGCAATCAGAGAGGCTTTGAGCAGATGGATGGGGGAGAAAGACATCGAGCTGTTACAGTCCCAGCTTCAGTTGTTCAAATCTCTTTTTGTGGGAGAATGAATCATGTATCATGTTTCTAAAAAGTTCCTTGCACTATGAACACACTCACTGTCAGCTGGTTCTCCACACACAGGCTGCGTCTCCTGTCTCCGAAGGTTCCACTGCAGCTCCTCTAGAATTTGTGCTCTTTCTTTTACCAGAAAAATTAGGGCAGAGGTGCTCAGTCAGCAACATGCAAGCAGCACCAGAAGGAAACATGCAGTTACCAGGGTTTTCAAGTCTGTTTCCCTTAAACTCACATTTCTCAGGTAAATCCTCCTTTGCATTATTTTCCTCTGTGCATTCAGTGCTTATTTTCTGTCTGGCTCCTGTATCCAGTTTATCAGCCTCATCACAGCAAACTTTGGTTGCAGCGTAGATAAACTGAATGCTCTGTAAACTGTTAGTACACAATAAATGTCTTCTCCAGGTAACAACATTGTGAGTACTTAATTTTTGCTTTATGCGCAGTTGTGAGATTTTACTTTTTAATACCGACGGACTTGCTCCTTTTCCACAGTTAAGCAGATAGGGCTTCTACCTGCACTGTATAATGTGCAGGGAGGCTTTCCACCCTTGAGTGGAATCAGTGCTGGCGCCAAGAAAATGTTGCTTTGATTTTAGTATTAAGCTACTGTAAGAAAGCTGAGTTCGCCTACCCAAGCTCAAGTATGTGATACAAGTTGAATGAAATTGTAATGTTCAAACCATCAGATAATCTAGGTATTAGGTTCTCAAAACTAGCATATTTAACCTAAATTGTTTTCCAAAGTATGTTAAAATAGACAGAAATGGGAAAGAGACAAATACTTTTTTAAAAATCACCTGTATATATCTGTGCATGTACCAGGAAGCTTGTTTTCCATCATTTACTGATTCCACTGTAGTGTTGGCAAGACCACCAATGTCACCTCCTGCAAAAACCCAGGGTTCACTTGTTTGCATAGTTTCTGGATCTACTTCAGGAAGACCCCATCTGTTAAACTTGATAGGTGCCAAGGCCTCTCTGACTGTAATTAAGGTGAACAAAAATATGTTAAAAAAAGAAAGAAAAGATGTTGTTAAAATCTGTCAAATATACACTAATAATAATTAGAGAAGCAGTTCCAAGTTCTTTCACTTACTTAAATGTAAATTTACAGTAGAAATTAAGAGTCCTTTTATATACTTAAATGTTTTTGTTGAGCTAATGGAGGTATTCAATTACTACTAGGATTCAGACAGAAAACCAGCATACATTATATGAAACAGCAGTTTGGTAGCATCAGAAAAGTAACCAGTTCCTGCGTGCCTGCAGAGCCCGACCTGAGTACAAAATACACATACACAAGTGTCATGAGGACTGACTGACTCCACATAGGCTCAAGAACTAATTGGTGCTCGTGTCCTTCTGGTCACTCTCTGAGAACACACCTCATATCCCAGAAACTGGAATTCACAAAGTCATTGTTACTGGTGTTACACATCTCCCAGGGAATAAGTCCAGCACTTCTAAAAATCCCATAAATTAATAATATTAACAAAAAACCCCACTTTCTCCCTTTCCCTCCACCAATAGTTTTGCACTACACTTACTATACCACCACACTATTCTTCTGAATAACCTACAATGTACTCTCTTGTGCAACTTAATAGGAAGCATATGATTTTGGACATTTAAAAAAGAAAAATAATGTTTTTGGTAAAATTTCTAGAAATTCATTTAGATCTCCAGAATTTACTTCCCATATTTAGTAACCCTCGCAACAGAAATTACACTGCTACTTTTCGACAGGTCATTATTAAATCTGACTGAAAATTTTCAGATGGAACATTTTCTCACCAGGAAATGTTATGCTATCAAAGCTTTGGCTTTGACAAAGTGGTTGTTTTCTTAAGAAATTTAATTCTGAAAAAGATATATTTCAATATAGTCAAAACCATCCTGTCTTAATATTTAAAACTCAGAACATCCTGAGTAGAGCTCACTTTGAAACTTGTTACTTACATTAAGAATAAAACAATAAAAACACAAATCAAAATTCAATGCTTATATGAGGACAAGATATTTTGTATCTCTTTCACCACAATTTCTGCGGTTTTTTAGAGCATGCATTAAGATTTTTTTTTTTTTTCATGTTAGCAAAGAGCATATATAGGCTTTCTACACAGGAACTTTTACAGTCCTTAAAAATAATCATAGCATGGTTTGGTTTGGAAAAGACCTTAAAGATCATCCAGTTACAATCCCCCTGTCACAGGCAGGGACACTTTCCACTAGTCCAGGTTGCTCAAAGCCCCGTCCAGTCCAGCTTTGAACATTTCCAGGGATGGGGCATTCATAGATCCTCTGGGCAACCCGTTCCAGTGTCCCATTACCCTTGCAGGAAATAATTTCTTCCCAATACCTAATCTAAATCTGCTCCCTCACTTTGAAACTGTTAGCCCTTCTAATCACTACACTCCCTGATAAATAACATGTATCCCTGAGAATGTAGATGTGAAAATCAAAAAATATTTTTTGATATTGCAAGGCATTACAAAAATTGCATTAAATACACATGAATGCTTGGGAAAAATATTCTTGCTCTATATTAACATGATTTTATTATCTGGGTTTTTTTATTATTTTGTTATAATTGCAAAGACATTTTAAAGTAGCTTCATGAAGAAAATCACTTTATCAACAAATATATTTTTGGCAAATGTATCAAAATGAGGGAGTTTTTATATAGCTTTGTCTACAGGAACTGAAGATTCTGCAGTAAAATGCAGCTTAAAATTGCAACGTTCCTCAGGGACATACCACTAGCAGATGCAGATTGCCAAGGTCAATTAAACTGATGTAGTTGAGCTGTCATATATGTAAAAAAGAAACCTGCCAGTTTCAGACAAGAATATTTCTCCAATACAAGGGCAAAGTCGCCATCCCTGTGCATGCCTGAGTACACAGCAAGCTTCAAACGCATCATTCTTGCACTTCAGTGTGATGGAATTTTCTTCCCAGCCTATGTATCTCCCTTCACTCCAAATCATATATTAGAAGTGTATTTCCAAGTGGGATTGTATATAAGCATGGGCAAAGCAGTAAAAAAGGAGGCAAGGCACAAACAGTCACCTACTTGTCCCACCTATGTTCTCTGCCTCACTCTTGGCATACACAAGCATATAATCACAGAACTTGAATCCAAAGTATTTTTTTGTTCAAAAGCCAGAATCACAGGAGATAGTTTTAAGCTAAAAGACTGTGGCAGGTTTTCGTACTAGAAGTATGTAATCTATCTTCAAGACCTATTGCTTGCACAATCCATCTCAACTTGCATATAGCTGTGGCTTAACTTGGCCAAAAAACCCCTATTTGTGTAGTAACAGAATCAAAAACCTAGGAAATGGTTTCATTTAAAAATATTCAAATTACAGAAAGATCACACCAAACACAGCCTGCAGACTGAGAGATTTTTCAGTCTGGAAAAAGAGTTTTTCAGTTTGTTTGTTTGGGTTTGGGGATTTTTTGTTTGTTTTTAAAAAAGAAATGACAGATAGCAGTTCTATTAAGAATGCTTCAGTAACATTTATAAACCAACACATTAACTTTCTCTTTATGTCTCAGACTATCTGTACTTCAAGAAAGCTTTTGATCATCTTATATCTGTCATATATAGGATAACTTATTGCACTGCAGTGGTACCATCTCAGCATGTGGTCCAGACAGTTCTCGCAAGCTAAAGACGTACAGGCTTGTAAATACATGTTGGGAAAAAACCCAGAGGAAAAGTTGGTGTTGTAAGATTTGGTATTGGGGATTTAATGGATGACTTCTGTTTCTCTGAGACAGGACTGAGTCGCAGTAAAGGTGTTAGAGGGCAACATGCTATTGGAGATGTAGTTTTTCAGATGAAATGATGTAAAACTGGAAGTTCTGGCCAGTTATTTCATCTTGTGGAAAAATAGTGTATTACCTCTGTTATCCTGGATCTATTACATTTCTCAAATACATCTTTGGGTTGTTTGTGCTAAAATAGCTGTCTGGACAAAATTATACCAAAAGCTTTTTGAGTGCAAAGAATGCCCAACACCTGCAACATCTCCCCGGTGCCCGGGGATTTGTCTGCCTCATCAGTATTTTTAAAATTGGGAAAGAACATTTTCCTGGTGTCAAGGCTGACATTATATTCAACAGCTATTTCCTTCTGTCTTTTCTATAATCTCCAAGATGGGGCTTAGGTAAATATAAGAGCATGATTTAAAAACATCTTTTATGTAAGAGTTCCTAATGCCCTCACAATTTGGATCTGGTCCCCAGGGCAACTGTGAGGCTGAAGGGACCACCTCCTAGACCACCTGCACAAAGAAAGGGAGAACCTTGATCTTCACAAAAGGAAGTCCCTTCTCTACTCCCGAAAGGGGTGAGAGAGTCTAAGAGCCAAACCTGAGCTTGAAGGGAGGTGATGGCAACTATCAGTTCTCTGAATCACTGTTTGGCACTGAACAATAAACAAACTAGATTCCTCATGGTTTTTTTGACGCATGATTTGGGACAGGGGTAAAGGAAGGAGCGTATTTTAAATCCCTACACTCTCACATTCTTTAAAGTTTAAAAGTAACATAGCTTTTGCTCTCGAAAATTCAAAGTACAATCCTGTGGTTTTGGTACCTTCAACTCCATATCCTGGTGAGATATTACATATAATTGGAAAAGATTCTTCTGGATGAAAGACAATATACAATTGAATTATTCTGATGCTATCAAGTGATGCTAACAAAATCACACCATACAAAAGGATAGTTCTGAATATATATTCCAGACTTGCTGTATTCACAGAGCAAACAAACACAAATGGAAAAGCAGCAGTAAATTAAAGCACTCATAAAAACAATATTAAAATATAAGTGAATACAGAAAAATATTTTAATTAACAAAACAAATCAAATGGAAATGATTCCTCAAATAAAGCTTTAAAAGTGAGTCTGTGTGTGTTTGACTGCCATGACTAATTATGTATCCATGTAATGTGTGTTCAATTTAGGCTTATTTAAATAGCAGAAATGCTCATTAGCTGCAGTATATCTGTGAAGCTTCAATAAACAGTTTAATGGTTTTTATGTTTAACCAATTTCATAAGTTCCTGTAATTTTAGCTGTAGTAGCTCATTAATGTTATTTTTGATATCCATCTTGCAGAATTCCTTTACAGTGAATAGTAACACTACTTCAGAAAAATACAAATATAATCTAACTTTCTTAATCTCAAATGTAAAACTACAGCTGTCACATGCACCAATAGACTGATTAACTGCCCAGTCTGTAAATGCCTGGCAAATAAAGAAAGACACAGTCATGCTTCCCATGGTCTCTGCCTCACTAGCATACTGAACTAGGATTAAAAAGTGGTTTGACTGAGTAAATCTGGGTCCAGCTACGCCAGGAGAAGCTCCTGCTGCAACGGGGTGCTGATCTTGTTTTCTGCCTGTCACCAACAAGCAAATGTGTACTGATGACTATCGGGTGAAAGGGTGGAATCTCTGCTCTAAGTTAACAGGGCTTTAGAAGTCATCATGGAGCCACTTTTGGATGCTGGAAATCAGTAACTGTTTCAGGGTGTGGAACTGCTGCACTCAAACTCATTCAGTAAACCTATTTGTGGAGAAAGTTCCTA